AGCAGAAATTCACGTGCAGTGCCTTGCAAAAGTTTCCATATCCCTTGAAGATTTTCACATTCCTCATTTCACATCTAAATCCAATGTGTTCGCTTGCAATAAATCCCAATACCATGCTTTGAAGTTTGTGGTTGTGAAGTGACCTGATTCTCATTCCTTTCCCAGTCGACATTTTGTGGAATCGTCTTTCTTGTTGCATGTTACAGCTGGAAATTTTAGTCTTCAGCAGCACATTTTCCATGACAAACCTGAAATGTTTGTTCATCCTTCTTTGAAAAAGATGGATGGAGTTCATGTAACTTCATCTGATCAGAGCGTCTTCTTCACACGCATTATTGTCTACATGGATTGTGACAATATCACTCATGGCCTATTTTTCACACTGCATTTCTTATTGACATTCTTCAAAAATATTTGAGATCATGAATATTAGTTTTTGTCACAAAGTGTGACTGTGAAGAACCCAATTGCATTCAAGAGAGATGCCAAATTATGTAAAATGTGTCTTACTTAAAAGTAAAGCTAACCTCCAAAATAACAGGAGGAGTCAGTGAGGAGAAACCAACCAGCCTGGAACATCATTGCACATGAACAGTTCATAACAAATGATTGGATGTAGACATGGTGGGAAGGTGATTGCTGGAGTGAAAACATGTGATCATTAAGAAGCTGTGAAAGAAAAATGACTGAGGCATAGGACACATTCTCTTACAATTGTCCACAAGTCTCCTGGGAAGGTGTGATGAGAAGAATGCCAGGAGTTTTCCTTCTAAATTCAGAGCAAAAAATTTCCAGATGAGGTGAAAGACAGCCTATCAGAGAGATTGATTTCGATCACATCACTGATCACTCACAATGTAAAAGTGTGATAGCAAAATATAAACTCGGGATCACACATCTTCTCTGACATAATTCACAGTCTGCTAATTTGATCTCTGAAACTATTTGTTTCAGAGATCAAAGTGAGCCTTCCCAGTTGATCGGAATGAGGCAGTAGAGGCACTGATTTCCTCTCCAGAGATTAAATGGTTCTGCTGAAGGGCAATGCCCAGAAATGGCACAGGAACTAAAAACATAATAAGGAAGACATTCTGAAGCAACTGAAAAGAATATAAAATCCTCACCACGGAATAAAGTTGTTACTTTAATTTACTCCCATTGATGGAGCCTTACAATAGTACACATCTCAGGACCAAAACTGAACCAGCAGTGACTCTATGAGTAGACAATCCTCCTCATTTTTGGATCTCTGCAGCTCTTCCATAGTTATCTTGAGCTTCTTGGTTCTCTGATTCATGCTTCCTGTAAACAATGTGTCTTAGTGTCTTAATGGGTTTGCAGCTTCTCCACACAATTTTCATTAAGGATATTATTTCATAACTTAACATTTCCTTAAATGTCTATAAAACATGCACACTAAACTGTCTGTGTGATGCTGGTTGTTTGCTAATGTCCTCTGGCAAACCTCTGGTGCCTTCTCATTACATCTGTGTTTTTTTAGTGAGATTAAATTACAAATAAACTACATGAATTCACTCAGCTGCTCTCTGAAGGTAATTGCTTGTACTGGATTTTATTTAGGTGGAAAAATAAACCAGGTTATATGTGCTACTTTGTGTTTCTCAAAAACATTAAATTCCAATATAACACAACGATGTTGCTGGTTGTAATTTGACAATCTGCGGAAAATTTATGCATATACTTTTGCAAAGAGTTTGATCCTAGCTGATGCAAGAATAATAGTGTGTGATCCAAAATTGTAAACAACCCCAGGATCTTCTTTCAGCCACATGCCCAGATTAAAGCCTGGTGGGTGTAGAGAAGATCGAGCCCCTGATCCCGTTAAACAATGACCAGCAGAGAGCAAAAGAGGCCTTATGCTGAGCAGCACAGGTTTGCTCTTCAGCTCAGTGCTTTATTGAGCTATAAGAGGCCCTAATCTGGGCTGATCCTCTGTCACTACAAGCATATGCCTGTGATAATGCCCTCATTTTATGGTCACCTGAGCACTTTCATTGGAGTGCACCCCATGAGGCATCAGAAAGGGGGACCGTAAAGCCTGGGGGAGAAAAAGAGGATGTCTCAGATCTAAGAACTGGATGAAGAGTCCTGAAAGGTGACATCTAGAGAAGAAAGTTAAACACTCTGATGGAGGGTTAAAAACTGAAGGATTATATGGAAACATGGAAGGTGGTTACGCTTTCATTTGTAAAATGCAAAGCTTGATTCTCCTGTCTCTCTGTGTGGCCCGTTGCCTGTGCAAACACATGAATAAGAATAAAAATGACACACAATGGGACTTATTTGGCCCATGAATATAAAAATGAAGTAATAGAAGAACTATTGATGCACTCAATTGATCAGCAAGAGCCCATATGTCTCCCTATTCTTGGTCTCTGACAGTAGGAATCATCTCCAGATATTCAGGTCAAGATTTTTAGCACAATTTTTCAAATTCCTTTTTGGCTGAAAACATTAGTTTTCTTTTCTATTAACAAATTAGAATATTTTGACTCACATTGTTAATTAGGATCTGACCCAATTAATAGATGTGAATCCAGCAGCCATTTTGGCTCAGAGCCTAACGATGGGAAAATCCATATGCTCCAAATAAATGGCTTATGTGAGCTCTCCAGGTTCCACCAATTATAATATCCCTGAATATTGGCTAATCCGAAGCACCCTGATGGAGCGGTGGTGGGGGGTCTTCAGAACCCTTTTGATTCCTGGTTGAAACGCTCTTTTAAGTCCGTGAGTAGAATCGGTTTGGGAGGATTTTTTGCTTTGAAGTTGCACATTAAGCAACATGTAAACCACTGGGAGACCCATCTGGCATTTAACAACAGACAAATCTGAAGAGCAATTATATACTACATAAAATACAACAATGTTTTCTTTACATGTCAACTGAAAAGTTAATATAATATTGTCAGAACATGAAAGTACTTTTACCAGAGGAGGATATTTAGTACAGATCTGTTAATAATTAGATGACTAATCTTTTTTTTTCATCTTTTTGATAAAAAAAATAACAGCACGTCATGTTTTTTTTAATAGTAGTAACAACATTATTAAAAGCTTGAGATTTTCAAGTAAAATGAGGAGATTGTATGCAGCCATGCAAAACATTTGTGATAGGTACTTTAATCTATACATTAAAACATGGTGGGTGAAAAGGTAAAAAGGCAAAGGTAAAATCTTTTACTTGCATTTATTTCTGCTGTTGTAATGAACACAAGAGAGGGAAAAAATACGTATCATTATGCATTACAGCAAGAGCATTTTACTGTTAAGAAGAATCAGTATTCAGCCTCAGCCATCATAATCATCTTAGCCATTAAACTACAGTTAGGTTAACAAAACTCCTTGTAACTTAGCATGTCAGCAAACACTAGATGCCACTATGTACTAAGAAAACATCATTTTATTTTAATCACTGGATAAAATGTTAGCATGTGCTAAAATAAATGTTAGCACATACATAATTTTATTTTATAGAATCAATCAATATCTTTGAGTTTACTATCAAAATCCAAGATATAACCAGAGAAAATTTGAAATACTCCACTGTCTCTCCAGTTCCTCTCTTACCTCATTAAAAGGACTCCAGAGATGAATAGAAAAGTTTAGGTTTTGAAATAAAAGTTATTTTAAAACTTTGATATGTGTTGATAATGGAAAATGTTCCTTGGCTATTAACAATCACCAATCATTTTTTTTTAATCAAAAGAAATATACTTGTGCACACATTTTCATAACAACTGCATCAAACCTCTGTTAGTGCTCACATTACTTATATTTTCTTAATGTATCCTTTTGCATTTAAAAAAAATCAAATTTGTTTTGAAAGTGTTTCGAAGAGGGACAGGACAAAGCCTTTTCACATCTTATTTATGATAAGTAGTTTATTTTTTTTTTATAATTTGAAAGTTTCGCAATTGCAGCTCTCTGCAGGAATCCTTGCAACGGTGTCTCTCTTGCGGCTCTGGAAAATGCCATTTTTTGCATTCTAATGCATGTTTTAAAGAGGACATGTTTGGTGCTTCAGGGAGAATAACAGCCTGTTGTACAAAGTTGTTTGTTCTAAAACAGTTGAAGATACAAGCTATGCATGTGTATTCTGTCTGAAGCTTTTAGTGTATCTTTAACTTTTAAAGATAAAAAGCTGAGATTTTACTGAAATACCATTTAGTTATTTGAAGACAGTGCTGTGGCCTCTTTAGTATCTTTTTAACTACCTCTCCATGAAGGACCCCCTTCCAGAAACAGTGATGTGATTTCACAGACTGTTTGGAAAGCTGAGTCAAATTTATTTGACCTTCTTTGTCTTAACTCCGAGTTGAATTGTACCCAGTCTTCCATTAACGCTGCTCTTTACATGTTTAAGCCGCCTCATATGGTGCCTCATACCTTTCTCCAAAGTGTCCCATAGAAACCATATGTAAATAAGGCCTTGGAGGCATCATCTATCTGGTGAAATGGCAGACAGCAATAAAAATGGTGGCCTGTTGAACTCTGAGGTCAGCACTTTCACTTTCTTTTCAGGCAAACTACAGAACTCAAGAAAAACATTTATATAAATATATTTTTTATAAAACATGATTTGTCACATGAACTCTTTGCATTTTTATATAGCCATGGGTGATTCTATGAGAATATCTGAAAATGATATGTGAATATATCTTTGCTTTGGTTTGTAGTGGACTCATTAGATTAGGGGAGTTAAAGGGTGTGGGAAGGTGAAGTGGGGCTGTATGAAGGAGGTGTAACAGGGGGGTGAAAGTGTGTCCCTTCTGCAATTGGCTGTGGTCCTAAGTGTCTCATTATGCAGCTTATTGTTCCTTTGTTGTGTCCCCAATATAAATACACACCAGCAGGCCCACGGTGTGACAGATTTCAAACACTCCTTCACTCCTGTGGAACAGACTGTGCAGCAAAATCTCTCTGTGACTCTTTAAAAATTAAGGATTTTGGACAATTAAAAACAAAAACAAACTGAGATGGATTCAGATGCCAGCTCCACGTGCAGCCGATCCTCATCTCCAGACCTGGTGGTGGATGACTCTGCCGGCAGCTTCTTCTCCAACACTATTTTTCAGAAATACTGCCAGGAGAACAGAAGTGGCAGTGAGGCTGACCAAGGCAGGACAGAACGTGGAGGTGGGAAGACCAAGAGCAGGTCTGAACTCAGCAAGGAGGAGATGCAAGACTTAAGGCTCAAAGTCAACAGCCGGGAGAGGAAGAGGATGCACGACCTGAACCAGGCCATGGACGGACTGAGGGAGGTGATGCCCTATGCTCACGGACCTTCTGTTCGCAAACTGTCCAAAATATCCACCTTGCTTCTCGCTCGCAATTACATCCTCATGCTGTCCAGCTCTCTAGAGGAAATGAAAAAACTGGTCGGGGACGTCTACGGAGGCGGTGCTGCCGCCCAGAGCCGCTCCACTGCTCACTCAACTATCAACCATGCAGCCACATCTGTTCACCTCCCTCTGCATCCTTTGGCCCAGTCCCTTCACTCTCTGGTGGGCAGCACAGCTACAGCTCTGCAGCATCACTCCTCTCCTCCCTCTTCAGCTCCAGCTCCTCATTCCCCTCCATCAGCTAGCTTCCTGGGCTTCCATGCTCCAGTGCAGGGCCTTCTCAAGGACCCGCTTCACCTTGGTGGCTCCTACAGACATTTTCCTGGCATGCCATGCCCGTGCACACTCTGCCAGCCTCTGCCGACCGCCACCTCCACATTGCACAGCTTGTCTATGAACAAATGAAGGAGGACTCGACACAAAATGACTGAAGCCAAACTTGTTCATATTGTACATACAAACTGCTGCTATTTTGTCAAAAAAATATTTTGTAATATTGGGCTTTTTACGCGTGTAACAAAATCTGCAACTTATCCAATGTTTGTGGTAAGGAAAGCTTGTAAAAAATTGGAACAGATATGTTCAGGGTTTCTATTTTCCTAAATTAAAAAAAAATAAATTTGAAACTAACCTGTTTTCCTCATTTTTCTTTCATTTTTATTGCTGAACAATGAAAACTGCACAAAACGTCTTTACTTTGAGACCAGAAATGATAGATATGTGAGTTTAATTATTGCGCAACATAGATTTTACACTGATTTTGTTAGTAGAAATCGGTGAAGGGGGGGAGGGGGGTATTTGTTGCTAACCAGCTTAGGGCACACTAAGAGCTAAGGAGGGACAGGAGGGTGAGACAATACGACAGCACAGAAGCTGAATGTGGCGCCATCAATCTTCACCTCAACAGGGTGTTGGAGATGAAAGGACGACACAGGCGCCATGAAGACGCGTCACTTTTGTCAGATGCAGGCGAGGGACACAACGATGTCCTCAGCTGCAGGCCAGCCATTTGTCACTGTCTCGTATGATTGTGGTTATAAGGCATACAAAAGGATTCAATTAAAGCTAAACTAATAGAGCAGTTTTATGAACATTTCCCCACACCATCCAGTCTCTCCAGTCAGGTTTTGTTGTGCTCGTCATAAAAGTCAAAATTCAGACCATATGAACTAAAAAATGGCTCAAATAAACCACAAACCTGGCTGTCTATGCAAACAAGACCAATGGAGAGCCATGAACATGATTTAGTTAAACAAGTCAGCAATGGCTGGCCTTCACTTAGCAACAAATCAAGCGTGTAAAATACATGCTTATCCTCCCACGGCTGACAGATGAGCTGGAGATCAGGGAGAATGAAGAGATGTAAGTCATTTTCACCCACCTCCTCCTTATCACAAAGCTGAAGAGGGCTTGAACAATGGCCATGCGGACACAAAGACAGGGGGAGTCAAAGCTCTCGTGCCTGGGACATAGACCCCCTCCATTCAATCTACATTTCATCATGGTAACAAGCGCTGTCGGGCCAAAAGGCCTGACACCCTCGCTCACCACAAAGGCGGTTAGCTCAAATATATGAGGCTATTGACACTGTAAAGAGCTCCTGTCAGCGCCGGGGGTTTGTCAGCTGTGGGATGTCTCAGTAGGGGGAAGCAGCTGCCAACCAAACCAAGCGCTGTGGCTTCTGTCGTGGGGATCGGCACCGCGCCGTCACCTGGTCCCCGGTCCCATGACACAGAGAGCCACAGTCCTCCCCCTCTTTACTGGGGCACAGGTGGGAATGGGAAGCTGAACACATTGAGGAGATTAGTGGAGATCGGCTTGCCTTTGCTGGAGGTAGATAATTAGAGACACTGACTTGTGCAAAGCTGGTGTTTTCTGATTGGCACCAGATGGTGTTAACCCACAATATGGCATCAGTGGTCTGGAAAGTCTACGTGCATGTGTGGGTGGGTGTGATGACTGTGGTGTGTAACGGATATGCTTCTTAAATCATACAATATGGGCATGTCCTCTGTGTACCATTATGAGCAGCCTCTGCAGTGATCACTCCTGTCCTCAGCATACGCTATATTTGAATTTCCAGCAGAGGAAATTCTGATTTAAGTGACACAGTTAGCATGTAACTATGTCCACCACATAAAATGATTCCTACATTTATATATAAAAAAAACAAAACAAAAAACATCCCAAACTATTTAAAGTTCATTAATACATCTGAACTTATTGATTAGCAGATTGTAGATAAATGTTCTAACAGCATTATGACTACTTAAAAGCAAGCTTTCCAAAATAAAAAGAAATCTCAAAATGTTAAATCTACTGTTAAAAAAATAAATAAAACCAATATAAAATATTTTTCTGACAGAACTTAATTATGGCAAATGTCCTTTAAAACCCTTTCTACTAGGTTTCATAATCTAATCAAAATCATTTAATTCATTTTGGTAAAACATTCAAAATGAAGCATCTTAATTTAATGCAAGTTCAGAAACTTTATTATGTTTCACATTAAATATTATTTTCTGTTTTGTCTTGATTCTGCTGAAAGGCAGAATAATATTATTTTTTAGAGAAATTCCTTTTTGAACTTTAAAATTCAGGGTTTTTTTTTCATGTTTTACTATTGGGTAAAATTGCTGTTTTATTTTAATGTATTTGCGTTAATTCATGCTGGAATGTATGACTTAAGTGCCTCAGAGAACCTCCTTTACCAAACTAAGAGTGCTGTGATATAGCATTACACTTTCCCCTTTTTCTTAATTTAATGTCCATGCCCATGTGGACAGATGGAAAAGTTAACTGCTTTAGATTCTGATCAATAGAGGGCTGCTTATCTCGACTTGGCTCAGGCCGACCTGCGCTGACAGAGTTAATTAGGTAACTGAAAGGCCCAATTAAGGGGACTCAGGGCTGGACAGGGACAGACATATTGGAGGACATACGCACACAATGTGCAGCGTCTGGAGAAAGGCGAACTTCAATTAGGGGAGAACACACTTCTAGAGGCTTGTAGCCTGTTCTTATTCATTTTTTTGCTCGGTAAAAACACCCCCTACCACCCTTTCTTTCCCCACACAGAATACTGATGAGGGGAAAAGCACAGCTGCTTGGGGTCAATGCACACATCAAATATGGTGAACATTTGCTCACAGATGTACAGAGAGGAGGAGACTGATGAAAGGATTCACGTTCGAACTGCTAAACGCTGATTAGTTTACATAATGGCTGAGAAAAGCTTTGGTCCTGATTCACTTAGTTTTTATAGTTTAAACTGTGTTTAATTAAAAAGAAATATGTGTTAAACTATTAGAATACCTTGCTGAATGTTTGTTCTCATTATTGTCCCTTTTTTTTTGATACACTGAAAATCTGTCCTTATTTAATAGTGGTTGAAAGCATCCATGTTAATATATGTAAAATATTTAACCGTAAATTTTAACACAGCATTGGAGAAAATATGGGGGGAAACGTGTCATCTCTTGGTATCAGTTTTTTTTTTCAAATAATCTTTTTAGCTTGTAATTTTTAACTATATGTATATATATCAATTATATGTATATTAGTTGTAAAAATGTGGATTGTAAGCTAGAGATTAAAAAAAAAGAAAAAAGTTGAATCTATAACTTTTAAAGCATTTTCTGAATTGCCTTAGCACTTACAGAAAGCAAATTCTGAAAAATAAAGTCAATTTTTTAATATGTTGGAAAAGATATTTATGAATTGTTCAACATAAAACAAAATTTATGAAAATACAACAAGAATATTGAATAAGCGGTGACAAAAATGTTACTATCATACAAGTGGCCAATATGAATTTTCCTATCCTTGTATTTTAGTTTGATTTCACATTCTGGGAGAGTTTTAATTATGAGTAGTTTATGTTTTAATATTAAAACAGATATTTTATTTTTTTTAATAAACTGATAACTTAATACATAACCCAAGCATGTAAGTAAAGGTGCTCAAGTTTTCATTTATTTTGGAATACAGGATTTAGAATAAATAGAAGACAAAACAAACAAGAAACAATAGACCTTTTTCACGCTTCCGGGTTTGAAAGCGGATGATGGGTTGAACAATTTCTGGTGGCTATAGCGTTAGCATTAAAAGGCTAGGAAAATGGCTCAGTCTCGGCGCAGTTGTTTTTTGTTCAGTCCCTGGTTGTTCATGTGGGGCAAGAAAACAGCCTTATCTGTCATATCATGCGTTCCCGGACCAACGGAGGCAGTGGATCCAGGCGATCCGAAGAGATGAATGTCCGGACTTTTGCATAAAGACAGGGAGCACTTTCGTATGTAGCCGCCACTTCACACCGGAGGATTTTGTTAGAGGATCCACCACCAGCAGCCTTAAAAGTGGAGCTGTTCCTTCACTGTTTGCCTGGAATAACTTCACTGCACCGGCAATGAGAGAGTCTGCTTTCGAGAGGGCTAAGAAACGGCTGTTTGTCCTCTCTCAGAAAGCGAGCCAGGCTGAAGATGCTACTGCGGACCATGACTACACGGTTGTCCCACTGCGTCCCACCCGCAGGGGCTGGGACGGTTGTACGCATGCGCGGGCCACGGGCGGTTGTGCGCATGCGCGGGGCTGGGCGGTTGTGCGCATGCGTTTTATAAAGCGGATGTGGTGTTGGACAACTTCCGGTGGCTATAGCGTTAGCATGAAAAGGCTAGAAAAATGGCTCAGTCTCGGCGCAGTTGTTTTTATTCAGTCCCTGGTTGTTCATGTGGGGCAAGAAAACAGCCTTATCTGTCATATCATGCGTTTCCGACAGACCTGGACCAACGGAGGCAGTCGATCCAGGCGATCCGAAGAGATGACGGTCCGGACTTTTGCATAAAGACGGGGAGCACTTTCGTATGCAGCCGCCACTTTACACCGGAGGATTTTGTTAGCGGATCCACCACCAGCAGCCTTAAAAGTGGAGCTGTTCATTCCCCGTTTGCCTGGAATAACTTCACTGCACCGGCAATGAGAGAGTCTGCTTTCGAGAGGGCGAAGAAACGGCAGTTTGTCCTCTCAGAAAGCTAGCCAGGCTGAAGATGCTACTGCGGACCATGACTACACGGCATATCCACCCGCAGGTAAAAGATAGTATATTGTATATATTTTCCATGTAATATAATTTCAGTAAAATATAACTGTTGCTATAATATTGTTATTATTATGATCACATAATAATGCAATTATGATATTATGTGGTTATGTATTTTGTGGAGAGATTAGTCAATGGCTGTATACATACATGCTCTGGCTCACAACATGTATTGATCTTCTGCAGTCAGAAAGCCGGTTGGAACCGAGTTCCTGATCATATTTGACAGATTAAGAACTTCCACGTAAGACTTCTGGACAACTCAGAGCTTTTTTCTAACATCTTCCTGTTCAGAGGTTACTATTTGTTTTCTTTTTTTGTTGTGGTTGCAACAGTCGCGTTTTTTCTGCTGTTGTTGAAGCTTACCTTCAAACTAGAATCTATTGTTTAAAGCTAAACAT